ATTTTTGTAAATCCAACAATCTCTTATGGATTAATATACTCTGCATTAAAAAAACTAAGATGCCCATAGCTATATATATTAACTGTTCATGAGTAATGGGGTTACGGTTAATAGAGTTTAGGTATGGTAATCCTCGACTATACATCGGTGCTTAAAGGTTAGATAGTAAATATGTTATGGTATCATTGTAGATGGATTTGTAGCAATCTAACCTCTGCAGCACCATCGAGTTACATTAAAGTTTTTTAGGAATAAATCTATCACTCATTAGAGGTACATGTAGACTTATTATAAGCATACAAATATATTTTATAGGTTCACGTTTTCCTTTTTGTAATATATATTTATATATCATGGTATTATGGTTGTTTAAAGATGAGATTGTTTGATAAGAGACGTATCTCAGCTCTAAAGTGACAGTTACTTAGATTTACAGAGTTCAAAAAGTATATGTTTTAATCATTACAATGAAATGATGAAAATTAACATTACATTAAGAAATATCGCATAAGTTGAAACTAAAGCTTTAATATGTTACAACTCAAACTCATTTGCCGAATATGACAACTACTAATCCAACCAACTCAAACTTGTTTTAACCAAGTATGTTAAACATGTTTTAAACATCAATTCATCAACTATTGGATAGAAATAACAAATTGTACTAATAACACAACAACTAGAATAATTTCAAATACAATGATAGACTATGACACACAACATAAACCTTATTTTATGTACCTTAGGTGTTTCTCCTTCATCTCAGCCTTCAGTTAAACTATCTTAATTTGGAAGAAATGTATACCAAATTTGGAGATAAGCTTTTTGTATTCTTTCTCGGGCCTATCAACATTTAAGCCAAAGACAAAAGTCTATAGGAGTATACACAACTCCGATTCAAATTTATGACACAACTATCTAGGTATGTAATTTTATTTTAAAGGAATGCTAATGGAAACCAAGACACACATTATATGCCCTTTGTTGTAATGAAAGGTATTTAAAGGCATTCATACATAATAGATTTTCAGAAATTGATCAAAGAGATGCATCAACAACCAATACCATGATAGATACATCGACCAACACCTTCGGCATTTATAAATGTTCTTCACATGAAAAATAGGTGCCTTCGGTATTTGAAAAAAAAAAACAATCGAACACCCATAACTTCTCTAGCATTTTACACACACACAAAAAACCCTTAACTAATAAGATGAAAATGAAGTACTTCTTAACACAATAAGGTCACTTACAATTTAAAACAAATCAAAATAACCCGTTTCTAAAACGATAATGGGATACGATGATTAAGTAAATTAGGACGATACCAAATCTTGTACAAACCCGACAAAAGCACAAAACAAACAGATTATAGCACATCATGAACTCGAAAGCACAAAATTGAAATGTTGATTTTATCAAATACAAAAAACTTACTTTTGAAAACTCCATTTAGAAGAAAAAAACTTCTTTGACATTTTGAGAAGGTTGTATGCAACTTCATTTTATTATCTTAGTTCATTTTTTATGTGGAAAACTTCAAGTTCATCGGCGAAAGTTTCACGGGTGACGGTTAGTGGCGACGGGCTGAAGTTTGGACGAGAGTTCCTTTAAAAAAAAAGGGATGGAAATTGTGTGATTATGAATATTTTATTTAATTTTTTTGTTATTTATGTAACCGATGATAGTATATAAATAATAAACTCACGTAAATTAATTCAAAATCAAATTTGGACAGTGGGACAATTTTAGGATGTGTAAATAGAGAGAACATAACTTGACATAAATTCAACGAAAATACATAATATATTCGTTACATTCACTCATGATTCCATTGACAAAATGAGTACTAGAGAGTGATATATAAATATTTTACAAAAATAAAAGTGCAATGTTTTCAAATATATATATTTTTTTACTCATAGAGATTTAAATTCAACTCCCTTTTATTTAACATATTTATAATAGATTTTTTTTTTTTTTTGTGAAAAAATTGCTTATAATTTACTTGTTTAGAAAGTCAGTACTATATTTCACGGTAATTTAAAATTACACAAACTTTTCTCATGTTTTAATATACAATAACTTTTATAAATTAAAAGATGCTTTTTTTTTTAAAAAAAAAAGTATTTGTATAAAATTTCCTAAAATAATTTTATACAATATTTAAAAAATACAAATGAATCTAATACAAATTTTCAATTATAAGAAAAAATAATATAAATTCTAAATCATAAAAACAAATAATAGTACAAAATTTTTAAAGCACATTTTGATTGTAATTAGGGTTTTTTTTTTAGTATTTTATTATAAATAATACTACTTTCGTCCGGTTCTAAGAGTCTCATTTACTTTTTGCATGTTGATATTTGAATATTAATTATTATATCAAAATATAGTACAAATTAAGAAAAAATTGTAAAAATATTTCTATTAGTGTCTTTTAATACTAATAGAAGAACATTTGTACAAACAATTATACAAATATAAAGATATTTTTAATATTAAGTACAATGATGCAAAAGGCACATATGACCGTTAGAGGCGGACGGAGGGAGTAATAATAATAATAGGCAGTAAAATGAAATAAAATGCACTAGCAGACCTATCAATAGCATAACAAAATAAATTTAAGGCAAAACTGCCTATGTCCCCTGTGGTTTGAAAACTCGGCGTCATTCCCCCTGTACTTTAAAAACTGCGTGGTTCTCTCATGTGTTCAGAAACGTTGCGCGTAACCCCCTAAACGTTAAAAGATAATGGAAATTGGTATGCACGCGCGGATTAAGCGAGTATTATTAGGATAGTTTCTCTTAAAATACCTAAATTACCTAATTTACCCTTATGGCTCTCATTAAGTTGTAACATTCTCTCTCCATCGATCTCTCACCAACGAAGCAAACCCAGGTCCCAAATCTTCTCCTCGACGTTGCTTAGCCACGGATTTCAAATTTCCAGGTACAGATTTCTATTGAAAACTTGATGTTTTTGTTTTTGCCTCTTTTCTTAGCTTCATTTTTCTCTTCATTTTGGGGATCACCATTGAACATGAATAAAAAGCATAACAAATGTACAAGTTGAAACCCCAAATCCACCTCTATGACAAATCGAAGAACTTCTCAACCTGAAATTGCCATAGTCTGTGAAAACAAAGACAAAATGCAGAAAACCCTAACCCGTGAAAAAAAATCGAGATAGAAGATAACCCAAAAAATCGGACCTGGAGTTTCTTTTTTTGTAAATGGAGGAACGACGATTTGGGGGTGATGGTGGGGGAGAGATGTAGGTGGGGAGGGGTAGGAGAGAAGTGAGGGAGAAGAGTTAGGTGAGTTATTTAAATGAAGGATCTGACGGTCCATTACATATAAAACTTAACACCGTGAGGTTAAATTGATCAATGGGGAGAATGTGCAACGTTTCTGAAAACACATGGGAGAATCACACAAATTTTAAAGTACACGGGGAATAGCCCGAGTTTCCAAACCACAGGGGGATATAGGCAATTTTGCCTAAATCTAAAAATAAAAATTCTGAAGAGAGAGTTCGACTATAGATTTACTTAGGGGTGTTTGAGAAATAGTTTTTTAAAGAGCTTTAGCTTATTAAAGAATTTTTAGCTATTTGACAAGTCAAAAAGTTAATTTACGTGTGTGATAAATTAGCTTCCTAAAGGAATTTTTTGAACAAAAAAAAAAAACTAATTTCTAAAAGTTAATTTATCCGGAGTTTTAGAAGTCTTTAATTATTTTTTATTCGACCGTAGATTTACTTAGGGGTGTTTGGGAAATAGTTTTTTTAAGAGCTTTAGTTTATTAAGCAATTTTCAGCTTTTTGATTGGATCCAAAAAACTAATTTCTGAAACACTGCCTCCGTCTGGCTTTAAATGTCCCATTTACTTTTTGCATATTAATATTTGAATATGAATTATTATATTAAAACGTAGTATAAATTAACGGGAAAAAACGAAAAATACTCATACTAGTGTCTTATAAATAACATTTGTGCAAACAATTATACAAATATAAGAATATTTTTAATGCTAAGTATAATGACGCAAAATGTAAATGAGATTTAAAACCACGGAGTACTTAATTTTAATATCCTAGACTTAATTTATCAAGTTATAATTTTATTTTTATGAATTTAAAATAATTACTATTATTAATTATTACATATAAAATATTGATTTGTAAAATATATAAATTTATTATAATTAAATCAAATAAAAAAATAAATATTATTAATATGTTTATATATTTTTATTAATATAAATTTTATATTAAAAATTAATAAATAATAATTGAGATAATAAAATATATATACCAAAGGTTTATTATTTTATATTTTACACAATTTTAATAAAAACTTATTATTGTTTTTTAATAACAATATATTTTTTTCATATTTAAAATATATTTTGGTGTAAAGAATTTTTTTTTTTTATGTAAAATATAGAAAATTGGATAAAGAATATAAAAATAATAATTGTGTTTAGTGTATTAATATTTTTGAAAAATATGTGTAGAAAAAAATTATTGAAAGAACAAATCATATATATATATTTTTTATAATTTTTAATAATTAATAAAAAACTTCTAGTAAATTTTAAAGTAAAATAAACAAAATTAAATATTTTAGATTATAACATATTAATATTTTTAATTTTCATTTTAGGTATAAATAAAATAATCGTTTTATTAAACACTTTAATACAAAACTAATTAAATTAATTAATAACTAATTAAATAAGCTAAATTACTAAACCAGCCAACTTTTTTAAATACCTAGACCAATTTTTTTTTTTTTTTATAAAATAATATGTTTCTTTAACTAAAATTTTTAAATTTTATTTTTTTACTCAAACATCTCGTTGGACATCATTTTAATATCAATTTTAAACAAAAATGTCACACACTCAACCAAAAAACACATTTCAATAAATATTTATGAAGACTAAATATATATATAATATATTTTAAAAATAAAAACCCTGGAGAGAGAGGTGTCGCGGCTGGTCAGTCTCATCTGCTTCCATTTCTGCTTCAGAAACCTAGATCTGCACTGCACTGCACGCTTCATTTCCCGATTCATTCATCGATGTATATGGAATTCGTGTGGACAAATCCAGACCGGCAGAACTAATTTTTGTAATGGCGGCCTATATTAAGTGGGTTAACAGATCGGCGTCCACGGCTTTCTCGCCGGATGGCGCCTACATCGCCGCGGGGACGATGGCAGGGGCCGTGGATCTGCACTTCAGTTCCTCCGCCAATCTTGAATTGTTCGAGCTTGATTTCGTATCCGATGAGCGCCAGCTGACCCCGGCGGGGACTGTGCCGAGTTCCGAGCGGTTCAATCGGCTTTCGTGGGAGAAGGGACCCGCTAATTCGGAGGAGTATTCACTGGGGCTCATTGCCGGTGGCCTCGTTGATGGCAATATTGGGATTTGGAATCCCAAGTCCCTGATCTGGTGAATCTTCTTACTTGGAATTATCATTGTTTTTGGGTGATTTGTATGGCCATTTTGATTATTTGGTTAATTCAACCAGACGACTTATGCAATAAATGTTGTTGTGATCTCCTTTGAATATTGATACTTCAGTTTAAATTGTTTTACTGAAAATTATTGTTAGGGAAATTACTAATTGACCATCTGATTTTCTGGTTTAGTGCGGCAGCATTTGAGTAAAAAAATTCGTAAATGTAAAGCGTCTTCTGGTGCTGTAATATATTTTCCACTGTAACATCAAATGGAACCTCTCCTAGTTCTGTTAGGATTCCTATTTATGGGCACAATATTCAGAGGAATTGTTGTTGTTGTGGTTTTTATTTTATTTATTTATTTTTTAGTGAGAAAGGCCAATGCTAGGAAAAGTTAGTTGTAGTAAGCCTCTATCTCAAGTTCAGAATGTAGCAACAATTAGTATTGATTTTGCATTGTTCATTAAGGTAGCTTAGTGAGACGCCTTTGACAATGTTTTTAGAGATTTATTTAGTTATTTTTCCCATTAAATGGGAAGGTTTGATGATCTTTGGAATTATATGTGTTTGTTTCTTGGTGAGCTCGGTAGAAATAGAATATAACTAGTTTCTCACGGTTGATTGTCCGTAATGCCCATGTTCCTTCATGCTTGTGGTTTTAGCAGTAGGATTTCACTATGTTTTGTTTCCTGAGCAGTGAATAAATATGTATTTTGCAATGACCAATATGCACAAATGGGGCGCCTATGTACGGAAGGTTTCAAAGACATGATGTGAAATCTATCCAGCTAGATCTAAATAAAGGTGTCAAGAATGATTTTGAATCTGCAGAAAACTCATTGGCCACTTATTCTTTTTTTATTTAAATCATGTAAAAACTGTTAGGCCCGTTTATTTTGTAAAACTTAACGGTGCATTCCTGCCTAAAATGTATTGGCCACTTATTTCCAGGTTTCTGGATTGGTTGTACAGCTAATTATGGATCCATAAAATTGTATTCTGGGTTAAACTGAAAATAATAAATGTTATAGTAAGATTTCAATTGTTATCTAATTAAATATAGCATAGCAATTGGGGACCATCCTGTTGGATGCAGTTCAATGCTTTAATGCTGCCATCAACTTTCTAGATGTACGTAACTTGTGTAATTTTATGATGCCTTCTTCTCTATATCTTTCAATGGCACAGCAAGAAGGGTTCTGATACAAGTGAGAATGCTTTTGTTGTGAATCTTTCTAGACACAAGGGACCTGTAAGTTCCTGCTGCCTGCTTTCATATTTTTGAAACTTTTATTACGTTGTGTACATGCGTGTGATGGGATATTATGTTTGGTTCAGGTTCATGGCCTGGAGTTCAATTCTCTTTCCCCAAATCTACTTGCTTCTGGTGCTGATGAAGGTGAGCTGTGTATATGGGATTTGTCAAATCCATCAGAGCCAAGTCACTTTCCGCCACTCAAGGTATGCATAGATTGATAGCTGTAGCCCATTTTTTAAGGGTCTTGTGGTTGAAAGGATGGAAATATCATATTTGGGTACATGGGTCATACCTAAGAAAAGTTGACCAAATGTCAAGGCCAACTACTCCTAATTTCTTTCCTCTAATATACAGTCAGTGTGAATGTGGTTAAATAGGAACGAGAAGAACCTTCATAAGTCTACAGTGAAATACAGTATTTTAAGTGCTGTTGGATGTTCTTAACATCATCATTCTATTATTTCTTTCACGCCTGCTTACGCAAGGCAAATGAGATTGCAATGCATCTTCTTGGTTGCTTTTGACACTCTCTGTATAACTACAATTTTGATATGTTAGCCTTACGGTAATTGTGCTTTTCCAGTTATAATCTTTCAATGAAATATGGCTAGATCTTATCTGTATTGTGATAAAACTGCATCAAATGTAATGTCCTATTAGTCTATTACTTATCACAATGTAGCGGGAGTAAGCTAAGCTCTTGCGTGTCAAACCTTTGTAGATCAAGTGGTGATACATCCCTAACTTGAGGGTTGGGTCCTAGGGGACATTATGTTAATTGTTAAATGACGCAATTAATTAAGCTCTTCAATTTTTCCTACACAGGGTAGTGGATCTGCCACACAAGGTGAAATTTCATATTTATCTTGGAATTACAAAGTTCAGCACATACTTGCCTCCACTTCAACTAATGGGACGACTGGTAAGTAAGGCATTAGATTCTACAAATGTGCTCCTGAATTTTCAGTTCCACTTACATACATTTTGTTTAACTACAGTGGTGTGGGATCTGAAGAAGCAAAAGCCAGTTATAAGGTTAACACTTTTCTCTTCGACATGGATCTCATTCCCATTCTTTGTATCAACAACAGATCTTGGATTTTGTCTCCTTTCTGATTTATAATGTATCTACCTTGCAGTTTCTCAGACTCAGTCAGAAGAAGGTGCTCTATTCTGCAATGGAATCCAGATATGGCAACTCAGCTTATTGTTGCTTCAGATGAAGATAGTTCACCTACTCTCAGGGTAATGAATATATTTATGCTGGGTTGGTTTTCTGGGTACTCTATATTTGAGAAATGCTTATACTTGATCTTTGTAAATGACATGATTTGAACTTCAGTTGTGGGATATGCGAAATATCTTGTCTCCAGTGAAAGAGTTTGTTGGGCATACTAAAGGTTCGTTAGATGACACCCCTAGTTTCTGTTTATGCTGTTACATTTCTCTCTGTTATATACGTTCAAGCTTAACCTTGAACTGCTGCACAACATTTAACATTTTAGTTTCAAAGCATTTTCTTGGTCAATAATATTATTACCTTTCACTTGTATATTTTTGTGAGCAAGCGAGTTACGAAACATAGCATATATGTGAAGTCATTTTGGATTGTAACGTGATTTGTTTTCTAGTGCAACATTGCCAACTTTAGACATGTAATTCAACATGAGTGTGCTGCTGTTTGGTTTGTTGTTAGGCTTCAAAATGAGTTGAAACTTGAGTTATATGCTCTATGGCAAGCTGGAACCTTTATATTTACTAATAGATTTTTCTTTGCATAATTTCTGACAATTCATTTTTCGGTGCATGTTTAGAATATGTTTATGTAAGTTTTGTTTCTGTATGCCTTGATGCTGCTGAGATAAACAAAAGTTTAATAGCACAACTTCGGAATATTACATGACTAGTGCTGCACTAGTCAGGAATAAGTATTGCTCCTGCCATTTGCCTCATCTTTTGTTTATGTTTCCTTCCATACTTATAGTAACTGATTGGAGCAGATTCATGTTGTTATGATTGCTTTATGAGTTACTTTTAGGAGGTCCACTAATGTGCATGCCTGTTTCACTTGCGGCAGGTGTGATTGCTATGTCGTGGTGTCCTATAGACAGCTCTTACTTGCTTACTTGTGCCAAAGATAACCGTTCCATTTGCTGGGACACAGTAACTGGAGAGGTGAGTATTCTGATCTCTTATATTTCCTTGACTTGAAGGAGTTATACTTTCCATTCATATAGCTCGTAAAGGATTTCCTCATCACCTTCATACTCTGAGTTATCATTTCACCACTTGTGACTGTTTCATGTGAAATTCTTTTTGTAGATAGTAGCTGAATTACCTGCTGGGACCAACTGGAATTTTGACGTGCACTGGTATTCTAAGATTCCTGGAGTCATAGCTGCATCATCATTTGATGGGAAAGTTGGCATCTATAATATAGAGGTTCTTTGCTATTGCTTGAAAGTTACTCAGTGTCTACTTTACTTGCAATTTTTGCCATTCAATACAAGTTCGTCCATGAGACAGAACTAATACCCTATTATTTAGTTTTAGTGAATTTGGTCCCATGTTATATGAATGTCCATCTTGAACTGGAGAATCTCATAGCTAAACACCAAGTTTTATTTTTGATATTCCTGTTCAAGTTTTCTTCCATTTGTGAAGGAACACAAGTCATGGTTATATTATGCACAAATTAGATACTGCTCATGTTATGAAATACATATTGGATACTATGTGAAGCAGTTGCAACTGTGATTTCACATTTTTATATATTGAGAGGCCCTGTGGAGTTTTTGATAATAATGCCTCTATATTTTTCTCACTGTAACTGCAGGGTTCTGGTCGAGAGTGTCTTGAAGGGGTTAATTTTGGGGCAGGTATCATCATGTGACATAGATGGTAAAATGTTGCTGTTATATCAATCTCTGCAAATGAAGTAAAAAGTGGAATAAGTTGTATAGAGTCTTTGCATTGTTCCTGGTTTTTTCGTCATCTAAAGTATAACTGCATTGAACATTTTCCATTTCAACCCGTAAGTTGACTGAAGCAGATGGTTGGTTGAGATAATGTTAAAAATTAGATATAGTTTCACTCAATCTCCAAAATCAAGTAGGTTGTATTTGTATCTCCTCAATATTTGCTTACAATAAACTATGGGTTTGTTCACTTTGTTTTTCTCAATGCTACAATTCCCGATAAATATTATTACATTATATACACACATTACTACAATATATATAAAATATACACTCTATTCATTCGTAAAAAGTCAACAATTCAATACGAAATATTATTTTTTATATTACCAACACGATTCTCCATATCTAACATAAAAAAATACATTCATCTAAAAGTACAAAGTGAACACACCCATAGTGTGTATGATATATAGTGTTTTCCGAAATATATTTTTCTTAAGATCTAGCTCTGCTGACAACAATTTATATGTGCTTTACTACAGTAATGCAATTGAAACTTAAATACTTAACCTGTGACCTGCTATTATATCGTATATCCAGATGTTGGCTTATGCTGGCAATTAAATAATTTGAGATGTAAAAATATGCTTTTATGTGTTAATTATGTAATTGTACTTCATACCATGTCTTTTATAGCACCTTTGAGGGCCCCCAAGTGGTACAAGCGAAAATCTGGAGTCTCATTTGGTTTTGGAGGCAAGCTTGTGTCATTTCAGGCAAATGAGTCTCCTGCTGGATCTTCAGAGGTGAACTGAAGGAGTTCTGTGTTTTTCATTTTGCTTGACATCTTACCCATTTTGACCATTTTTTCTATTTTCAGGTTTATGCGCACGACTTAGTTGCTGAACATGGCTTATTTAGTCAATCATCTGAATTTGTTAAAGCAATAGAAAATGGGGACAGATCAGCCCTGAAACTACTGTGTGAAAGGAAATCTCAAGAGTCTGAGTATGTCTTGTAATTCTAGATTTGTATGGATAGAGGTTATATGATATTGGCTTATTTTCAAGACTGTCAATCTATTATTCCTGCACAGATCTGATGAGGAACGGGAAACATGGGGCTTCATGAAGGTTATGTTTAATGAGGATGGGACTGCAAGGTCAACGCTGCTGTCTTATCTTGGATTCAGTCTGCCAGCTGAAGATAACAGCACTTCTCAGAATGATGCTTCTGAGCAAGCAAACTCTGTTACTCCTGATGCGAGCACTACTGTTACGCAGGGAGGATCTGGGTACAAAGAATCTGCTTTATTTGCTGTTGACAACGGGGAGGACTTTTTCAACAATCTCCCAAGTCCAAAGGCAGATTCTCCACTGTCAAGTTCTAAGGATGAAGTTGTTGGAGATTCTGTGAACGAATCACAACAAATTGATGGACTAGAGGAGAGTTGTGATCCTTTATTTGATGATGCTGTTCAACATGCTTTGGTGGTTGGAGATTACAAAGGAGCGGTAGCCCAGTGCATTTCCGCGAAGAAGTTTGCAGATGCTTTGGTCATTGCACATGTTGGTGGCTCTTCTTTGTGGCAACAGACACGTGATCAGTTCCTCAAGATGAGCCGTTCTCCATACTTAAAGGTGGTAAAATCATGTTTGTAGTCAACATGTTGCATCCCCTCCCTCCCTCCTATTTTCTACGAGACTGACCCATCTCTTGTTGCTGATTGTCTTTATTTGTTTCTGTGAATTTGTTGTGTCAGGTTGTTTCTGCCATGGTAAACAATGACCTAATGAGCATAGCAAACACCCGACCTCTAAAATCATGGAAAGAAACACTTGCTCTCTTTTGTACTGTAAGTTTTCTCTCCCTTTGGACAGAGCTAGAGTTAGTAAATGCATAGATGTGTTATATCCAGTGTGACGTGGTCACACTTTAAACTTAAAATTGATTGACAACTCCAGGTTCACATGGGCTTTATTTTTGGATTACCTACTCACTCTTTAACAAATTGAGCATGCAAGATGTAGTCAAGATATATCACATTTAAACATCTCTCAATGTTAAACATTTTACACAATAAGATCAACTGGGTTGTTTGTGTCCGAACTGGAGCTGTTTTCTGTTTTGTAGTGTAATCTCTTATAACCTCTATAAAGAGAGGTGATATGGTATGCTATAGAAGGTAAGTACTCATTTGAATAAGCATGTAAGTGTGCTTGAATCTAGTCAATGGATGGGTCAACCATTTATTCTGGCTTAATATGGAAACTCTGAATCTTTGAAGGAAAGCAAGTGATGATGAGTCATTGGTAACAATGAGGTGCAAAAGAAGGCTACATTAGGTTCAGGAATTTGTATTTTATGTCAACTTGTGTAATGGTCTGAATAAGCATATAATGTACATGTAAATAGTAAATCAAGTAGCAATCAGATATTTGTCAAGGTTGCTCCATTTCATCTTTATGCTGCTGGAATGCATGTTTGCATTATAACTATTTTATACTGCAATATAATTATATAAATGCATGCATGTATTCTTATTGAGATGGGGATGTTCTGGTGTTAGAATTAGTGAATCTTGCTGTATAATGTCTTTTTAAACTTCGATTGTTTTCTGTGATACAGTTTGCACAGACAGATGATTGGACTGTATTATGTGACACTCTTGCTACTAGATTGATGTCTGCTGGTGATAAAACTGCTGCTACTCTGTGTTATATATGTGCTGGAAATATTGATAAAACAGTGGAAATTTGGTCGAAGAACCTGTCAACAGAACATGAAGGGAAGTCTTATGTAGATCGTCTCCAGGTAACTTCCAGGTTGTTAAGGTTGTGAGGATGATTGGTTCATCATTTATACAATGCTCACACATAATTATTTACAATTTTAAGGATTTAATGGAGAAGACTATTGTCTTTGCATTGGCTACTGGACAGAAGCAAGTTAGCCCCTCCTTATGTAAATTAGTTGAGAAATATGCTGAGATATTAGCTAGTCAAGGGCTTTTAACAACAGCCATGGAGTACTTGAATCTTCTTGGAGCAGAAGGGCTTTCTACTGAACTTATAATCTTACGAGACCGAATTGCTGGTTTAACTAAGCAAGGTGTGCTTTTGTGCCATCTCTTATCTGTTCAATATTCTCTTCCTGCTCCACCCCTACCCAAAAGTTTCCATATACATATATATATATATATATTTTCACAATAGTTAAAAGAAGTTTAATCTCTCTCACATGTACTATAAACATATTAAACATATTTTGTGCTTTCATGTGCCAAATTGTTCAGTTTTCTCTTATACAGTCATTACTCTACAGCTGAAGTGCTTCTGCTTTTATCCTCTCCTTGGGGGTTGAAATAGTTGACAGGTCATGAATGAACTGTTTTGTTTTGTGTGATTTCAAAATTTTTTGGGTCGGCTTTTCTTTTCATACAATAAGCAATTCAAATGATAATGTGGCACATAGCTACAGCTTGTTTGGTGATGTTAAAATCTGTAAATATGTATTTTTAGATATATGTAGTTATGAATGGTTGATTTTATTATTTTTCCAGATCTTTTATATTTGTGTCAATTTGATGTTGTTTGTATCATTTATGCATAACATTATATGATGATCATATAATGTGATAGATGACAAAAAAATGGTTAGTTTTCAGTGCAAGTACTGTATTTGTATGTGGGTGTGTAGATTTGTGGTTGAAATAATAATAATAATAATAATAATGTATACAAAGATTGGGTTAATTCTGAGGTTTGAATTTTTCCTATGCAACTTTGAATGAGAGATAAGAAGGTATTTTGATTGAATGGTTAGCATGGAAGGCATAAGGTCTCCTTATAAAAAATACAAACCAAATTTTGTTGAAGAAAACTCAACTCTTTCGATCGATAGACATTTGTGAATTTAATTTTTTAATAAGTTGAGCATAAGCGCAACAACAGCAGACTGGATGCATGGCTTTCTAGTTTTGTTTGAACTAACCTGGGAAAAAATCCTGCCCCTGTGCTCCTATATTCTGATTGATTCTCATTAAGCCTTCTAATCTTGATCGCAATTCAGTATGAACTGATACCGATTATGAGACACAATGAGTCTAATGTGATGCAGACTTAAGGAAAATACCGTAATATCTTCTTGTCGCTTATTTAGAGTCAAGTATAGTTTGATGCTGTATTCAGATTTACAGACAAGTAGTATACTTGTGCCCGTTGCACTATTATTTATTTCTTACAGTTACTTGAAAGCTATATTAATGTTTTGTCCTGTGTATCCAACTGCTGCTTATATATATTGCAGAGAGAGAAACTGAGAAGATCGTGACCTATGACAACAATCAATTGCATGCTCCTGCATATGGAGATCAATTGAATTATGGTGGCATTAACACCTCTCCACATTATTATTCGGTATTAATTATTTGCGTCTGAGTTTCTGAAATAATACTTCATTGGTTTCTAGCTCTTACTGAGACATGTCTTCCCCTTTTTACTTCCATCTTCCTTAGGATACTACAAGATCCCAGATGCAAGTTCCAAGCAGTCCATACAATCCATATGGCGAACACTATCAGCAGCCATCTGCTGCTTCTTTTGGAAAGGGCCAAACTATTCCTCCCACATACCAGCAGATTCCACAGCCCAACACATTACAGCCTTCCATGTTTGTTCCTTCTGCAAGTCCAGCTCCAACGGTATATTTATTAATTGGTATTATTTTTTTTTTCTTTTGTGTGGCATCCAAATCTAACATCAATGCACTTGTGTTGACCATCCTGCAGGGGAGCTTTCCACCACCTCCTGTCAACAACATTCAGCCTGCTACTAAATTTGTCCCTGCAAACCCTCCTTTATTGAAAAATGTTGAGCAGTATCAGCAACCAACAACTTTGGGCTCGCAGCTATATCCAGTAAGCCACGCACTTTTTACATTTAGCTTTTTAAATTTGACCTGAATCTGAGTTCATTGGTTGTAAATTTGTTAGGCGACTACTAATCCTGGCTATCAAGCTGGACCACCGGGAGTCTCTGCATATGGTGCTAACACATCCCAGGCTGGCCCACCAGTTCCTGGGCCAAAGATGCCCCAGGTACTGGCTTCTGCTCCCCCATCTAGAGGATTCATGCCAGTAACTGGTTCAGGGATTCAAATGGCTGGTATGAATTCAGTGCAACCTCCTAGTCCTAGTCAACCTGCAGCGGTGCAGCAACCAGTTGCACCTGCTGCTCCCCCGCCTACTGTGCAGACTGCTGATACTTCAAATGTTCCTGGTAAATCTCCTGATCCCCTTAAATTACTCTGAACAATATTGTTACATAGCTGCATCTCTCTTACCTTGGGTGAGTGGGTGGATTGATTTCTTACTGTTCTCTTAAGAAGGCTGATTTTAGTAGTGGGGTCAATATAAAATGGATTAGAAGATGGATTGAATGTGATCTCTATGTATGTTTGATTTATTCAATCTGATGTATTAGTTGAATGTGGGACTTCAATTGCAATGGGTAGAGTGAAAAACCAATGCCTGAGACAATTAGTGAGATGATGAACTGGGTGACTGAAATAACATGCATGCAGTAACGATTTTGATAACTAGTGTTTGTTAGGGGGTGGGGGGTGGGGGTGGGGATGGCTCCATACTTGCATAGGCTGCAACCATCTTTGTTCTTCTCTGTTGACTTGATATTGTATAGTCTATGTTCTTTCAGAGGTAATGAATCAGTTACCTAAGTTTGTCTCATTTCACTAATTCTGATGTTCGAGGTTGAGCTTCTGCCACTAAAAATCCAATGACAAGAAAATTTGGCTGAAAGTGTATCCCCACACTGCATGCTTTGTTCGCTAAGTTCTTTCTTGTAGCCAGGAAAAAAAAATCGATATCTTCTATGTTGATTCTGTTGAAGCATTTTATTCTTGGCATTCTGTGAACTTTATTTACTTATTTATTTTTTAATCTGATGCAGCTCATCAGAAGCCTATTATTGCAACTTTGACGAGGCTCTTCAATGAGACCTCTGAAACCTTGAGTGGGTTGCGGGAAAATCCAGCTAAGAAACGAGAAATAGAGGACAACTCAAAGAAGCTAGGTGCGTTATTTGCTAAACTCAATAGCGGAGACATATCCAAAAATGCAGCGGAAAAACTCGCTCAGCTCTGTCAAGCTCTAGATGCTGGCGATTTTAGTACTGCCCTTCAAATCCAGGTACAGTGAGAATAGCCATCACTCACCCAAACATTTCTTTCACCTTATGCTCTGCTTAATCATGGGATCGACGGGTATAGGTGCTCCTTACTACAAGTGATTGGGATGAATGCAACTTCTGGTTAGCAACACTGAAAAGAATGATCAAGACTAGACAGAATGTCAGATGAATAATAGTCAAGTAGACTATGTGCGCCACGGTTTGGTTGTACACAATGATTGGATTGGTGTCGAAGAATAGCAAGATAGCATATTCAGGTTCTCATTTCTCCTTATCTTTCTTTGCAATTTCAATCTTTTTTTCGCCCGAATTTTGAGTTGGGATTGTTAAACTGAGTCGATAATAAAAAAGTTTGTGAGTACAAAGACAATGGTCATAGGTTTTTTATATTGTTTCTTGACATATGATCTCACTTGTGTTGAATTATTACCTAGTTTAATTATACACAGTTGTAATTTCTCCTCTCGACGCTCTTTATTGTTGTATAATCATTGGATTGGACTAGTTTTTTATTATTATTATTATTATTATTATTATTATTATTATTATTATTATTTTTGATCAAAGTTAGTTATAAAATGATTTTCTTGAAAATAAATTGCACATTATATTTTGTGCTTTAATTTTTTCAAGTTTGGTTTCTTTGATAGAAAATATGCATGTGAATTTGTTGTTTATAGCTATTTTTATTATTTTTTTGTAAGATACGGGAGAATCACGAAAATATTATAGAAAATAATATTTATTTTGTATTTTTTGTATTGATTTTTATTGTTATATGTATATATTAGCTAAGTATAGAAATAAAATGTTAAGTGAATATATTCATTCTTTGTAGAATATATATGAGTTTGTTTACCAAGTAATATAATATATTATTTTATATTATTGATATAATTTTTTTATGTTTAACATCAAAATTTTTATTCATAAAAAAATCCTAATATTTAAACACATTCATTTAATGTGTATATATTATATATATATTGTGTTAATATATAATATATTAAATCTTTTATAATATTTATAAGACATTGTACTATGTGATAAATACAAAGTGAACAATTAGTATGATTTTAAATAAAAAGATTATATTCTTTTATAAATTTCATATTAAGATATTTATTTAAATAAAATTCAAAAAAAAATTTAAATCAAAACCAAAGATGATTCAGCATTGATGTCATGTCAGTGACATTTCAAATCGTTAGAACTCCCATAAACAAAAATAGAAAAATAATTGTGTAATGCTGAAAAATGGGCTGGGGTGGTATTCCAGAAGAAAACTAGAGAGAATAGAGAGTTGGTTGTTGATGGTTTATTAAAATTAATAGAAATGGAAAACCGACGAGATTAATGACCTTAACGTTGAACATGATTGCCATCATAACAGCCAGACGCGATTATCATTCATAATTGCAAATGATAAATGTTTGACTAACCAAATAAGATATTTATGGAAATTCTCATTATAAGACTTCAAAACATTATACTTCCTCCGTCCATTGAAAGGTTACCATTTTTCATTTTCGTCCGTCCCAAAATAAGGTTATCATTTTATAATTTAGTAATTGTACTACCTACTTAACATAATAAATATCATTTCAACTTACAATATATTACACAAATATCATTACTTTTATATTACATCATACTAATAAGGGTATTTTTTGTCTTTTTCACTACAATCCAATATAATACTAATATTAAAAAATTTACGTGCAAAAAGCAAACGCCACCCTTCCAACGGACGGAGGGAATATAATAATTAAATATTTAGTATATTTTCAAAATCAAATGTACGATATAATTATCTATGTCATAATTATATGTGTCAAATGTGAGCACACGAATCGGAGGGAAAAGTTCGAAAAAACTCTATCAACACTAAATGAATTGTATATCTTAAAATTGATAATTATAGCTAATATTTGAAATCTTATCTTTTGATATATGATTTTTAATATCATATCCGGTAAGATATGATTCTTCATTTGGTTGTTACTTAAATTATCAGTATCATATCAAGAGAGAATTTCCAAAAATTTATTATGTGGTGAACCTATAAATAGGCATGACTCTTAGACCATAAAGCCTACACAATAAACCTACATACTCTCAGATAGATATTCTCATTTTCTCCATCTGCTGATTATTATACTATTTCCCTGATTGTCAGGTCTTTTGCCTGTGGTGTTGCTTCGAGAAGATATAAGCTGTTTTACTTTTGAGAGTAATATGAATACACCGGAGTGCTACCAACTATATTTTTCTCTACGGGAAAAGTTCTTTCTTGACTCGGCTTTGATGCGAACGTAACCGAAGATTCGAAAACTCGCAAACCACATGAAATAAAGAAATAGAAAGATGTGTAATTTAGAGGAAAAATATAAATGAAAAGAATATGGATAGAGTTTCTCAATTCACAAGATTGATCGGATAAGCACCACGTGAGAACTAAGTCACACGTACACAAAATTTCTAAATCAAACATGGAACACGCACCTAGACTTAAAGTTTCTAATTTTTATTTAACCTTTGAAGTTGAATATGTTGTATCAGTAATTGGTGTAGGAGTTATGTTGATACGGAGTTGGATGCCAAGTGACATTTTTAATGAACAACACTACTTATATGCTAAGGAAATTTTTATATATATTAATCAAGACTCTTTTATGCACATTAAAAGTCAATCTAAATTGTGCAAGAGGCATGCTCGTTGGATTGCATTTATTAGAATATTTTCTTATATCATTAAATTTAAGAAAGGGATGGAGATTGTAGTTGTTGATGTCTTGTCTAAGCCTACGTATCCACTTATTATCTTGATATCACGATTGATAGGGTCTATATTTATGATGGACTTTTATGAGCATGATTTCGACCTTGTTTCTTTGTCAAAATTTCAAAAATTTGGATTTAATGGAAACTTTTTGCATGATGGAATTTTGTATAAGTCTTATATAATGGTGATAATTCTTAAAGCATTGTTTAGACTTGTGGTTACTAATAAAGCCTATGAAGATGGACTTACAGGACACTTCAGTGTCACTAAAACTTACAAGTTGTTGTAGAAAAACTTCTATTAGCCCGCAATCCACGCCGATGTTGTTAAGCATGTTTTTGGATGGATAGTGAGGCAAGCCAAGCCCACGATGAAGATGCGTGACTTTGTCAAATATGTTTGTGACATGTCTTGGATTGATGTTAACATGGACTTCGTCCTGGGATTGCCCCAAATAAGGGAAGGTAAAGATTATGTGATGGTAGTAGTAGATCGATTTTCAAGGATGGCTCACTTTGTTACTTGTTGCAAAATTATTGTTGGCATGCATATTGCTAACTTATTTTTCAAAAAAAGTGTGAGTTTGCAGGGATTTTTCGTCTCTATTATTTCTACTTGTATCACAAAGTTTTTTGAATTGGTTTTGGAAAATTATTTTTGGAGAGTTAGGATAGAGTTACTATTTTCAATATCATATCACCCATAAACTTAGGGAAAGATTGACATGATTACAAATTATATGGTTGCATATTTTTCTATTAATATGTATTACTTTGAAGTTATTTATGAATTTTATCCATTTACCCTACTTGACTTGGTGTCATCACCTAGCAATGAGCAATCTAATATGGATTCAAGGAACAAGCACATAAGATCTAATAACTCCACAAAAATGTGCAAAAGGAATTGGAGCAGCATAACTCACGAATTGTCAATAAAGACAATCCCCATCGCAAGAGAGTCATTTTTCAGCTTAAAGATTGGGTATAGTTGCACCTTCACAAGGAGAGTTGTATGGCCAAAAGAAAGTCTAAGTTGTTCCCACTAGGAGATGGTCAATTTCAAGTCATCGAGCACATAAATTAAAATGCTTACAACTTGGATGTACAAGGTAAGTACAATATACATGGAACTTTAAGGTTCTAACTTATCTTTTTTCGATGTAGGTGATGAACAGTTGACGGCACAACCTTTTGAAGAGGGAGGAGATGATGTGACTATCATGAGAGCTACCGATCCATCAATTTTCCTAGCCTCAAGTTCGTGGCATTTGGGGAAGATGAAATAGCTCTCCATAATGTCGATCGAGGTGGTGCATTCCTAGAGAATGGTTCGATGCTAGAAGGATATCGGGTCGTGCTTACGATTGTATTTACTTAGGTTTGATTCTCCTTTGACTATCATATTTCTCGCTTTATTCATTCCGTTTAGTTAATTCGTTCTTTTTTCTAGCTTAATTAGTTCCATTTAGTAGTTTGTTCATTCTTGTTGCTTTATTAGTTAGTTTCCCATGGTATTTTATTCCGTGTCTTGTGTAGTCGATCAATTCGGTCGATGACATATATTATTAATTTGGTATTAGAGCAGTTTGATCAATTTACACTATCTTTATATTGAAAATTCGAAAAATAAAATTCCTTTGATATCTCTTCTTTTTATTCTTTCCTCTAGTTGTTTAGTTAAGCTTTTATTGTATATCCTTGACGTAAATTTGATCTCGAGTTTTGTCTCCGCTTGGCCTTCTAGTGTAGACGATTTGATCCTCTATGCTTCCTAGCGTACACCATGCACCATACATCCATATGCATTATATGAACTCAATTTTGTGATTTTTATTGACGAGTGATTTTTATTGTACATTTCATGTTCTTACTTGAATTTTGCAAGTTTGTTCTTGTTTGAGTTTTGCAAGTTTGCTGGTTGTTGAGTTTGTTGTTGTTAAAAGTGAGGTTGGATTATTGTTGTGTTGGATGTTATTTGGAAAGTGTAAGGAGTTATTGTTGATATGCTGTTTTGCCTAAACCTCGCAATATTGCCGTGAAAAAGTAAAAAAAATAAAAAAATAAAAACGAGCGGGAGGACTAGAGCAATTTTTTTCGGTAATCTTGTTTGAGTTGTAGTTATCTCAAATGAGCTCCATTTTTCGCGTATGATATGTCATTTGAAAGCGTTTGAAGTGAAAAAAAAATGATATTAATTAGTTTTTGTGAATTCATAATTGAGGTCCGATTATTGAGTTTTGGGTTTTTGAGTTTGGATCAATTTTGTGCTTGTCATATTCGTCACACACGTTTTAAAAGGGCTGTGAGGTTTTTGTGGAAATTTTGGAAGTTTTTGAGATCTGAATCAACGTGTTTATACTTGACTTGAAATGGATGTCCGAATGTCAAGATTCACAATTCCAAAACCTCATATCGGACGAGCTTCGAGAACCTGAGAGAAAGCATGCGTTGCAAAATTACAAAGTATGATGATGAAGTTTGAAAGTTGGGGAGCAATTGATGTGACCATCATGAAGGCTATTGACCCGACGATATTGCCAACCGGACCAATTGTTGATGGTAAAATTTCAACAAATAAAAAGTAAATTTCGAAAATGTATTTTTGGAACTTGAACAGTAAAGCTTAGAACTATAAATTCTCAAGCGATAAATAAAGAGGAAAAATGAAAGCTGAAAATGATAACTGGAAAGCTAAAATGATGATCTCCAACGAGATT